ACTAGAGGAGAGTAAACAGAAGCAGGTGGTAAACCACAGGAGATGAGACAGCCAAATGGTGAAGATAGTGGGGGATGAAAATGTGAGACATGGTCCATCTGCCATCCTGGAATATCTCATCAAATGGTCATCAGAAACAAGAGGCAAGGAAATGAGTGAGGTGGGATTTTTATGAAAAGAAATATGGAAAAGTATGCAGAAATCAACCCCAAGAAGAGTAGACCAAGTGGAGTAGTTGGCAGACCCAGCCCATGAGGGTATATGGTGACAAGTCCCTGGAAGAAGAAGTGTTCTAGGGAAGAAGTAGACAATGACAAGAGCCACGAAATGATGAGGTATCAGAAAGATACCAAACCAAACAACCCAAACAGAGCACAACAGACAGTCTGGGTCTAAGTGCCTGATGTAAGGACGTTGTTCAGATATGCTTCCTATCCTGAGAGAGATGCATCAGTGAACCAGTCAGGTTGGGGTGGGGGCAGAGATACATTTACAGTGGTATTGGAGTGATTCAGGCACCAAGACAGGTCTATGAGCAGAGGAGGGGACAAGAGAACCACTGTGTTCAAAGATTCCTGTGAATGATTCCATTGATCACAGATGGACCACTGAAGAAGATGCACATAAGCATGGCCCAATGGAATAAGTGGTTCCAAGGAAGCAATGGTCACCAAAACCAATAGAACCTCTCAAGCAGTATGAATAGGAGAGACTATAATCCTGGCAATTGAATGTTCCATCCCCTGTAGATGCAGTGGAGAATGTTGAGCCCAACTGAAGGAGGAGTTCAGAAATACTCCCAGGTGAACAAGGTATTATGTGGGGGTAAGAAATTATTTGAAAGGTTTGACAAGCCTCTCTAGAGGGGTGGCTTCTTGTAGAAGAAGAAAGGTGTGAAGATAAGACTCCTCTGAGTGAGATAAAAGAAGCCAATCATCCATGTTGTAGTGGAATTATAACCACAGTTCTTGTAGATGACATGCAAAGGCCCTGATGACTGTTGAAGAAACAGGGGCTGAGGAAATCTTGAATGGAAAAGCCCAGAAGGTATAATCCCAATGAATGAATGGAAGAAACATCTAGAAGACTGTTATGGGGATATGAAGAAACTCATCTGAGACATAAACCTTGGTCATCCACAGTTTGGGAGAAAAGGAACATCGGAGGGAAAAGAAATTTTCCATATGAAAATGAGGTGACAACCATGTAGCTATTGAGAATGGAGAGTTTGACGACTGGCTGCAAATCCCTGGTCTTCTTGAAGAACACAAAGATGTGAGAATAAAACCCTGGTGATGGGTTGTATACCCTCTCTATAGCCTATCTGTGCGATAAATCTGACACCACAGCCGCAAGACATTGAAGGTAGACAAAGTCTGAGGGAGAAGGGAAGGGAACTGGGTATGGGCTGAGAGAAAGAGTGGAAGAAAAGTAATCTGTCTATGGTTAGGCATTCACAGCATATCACAGCAGATGAGCTCCCATCCAGTTCAAATGTACACCAAAGTCACTGATGCCCCCCAGTAAGACTAACATTGGGCTTAAAATTGTTGAGTGGAAACGGAAGGAGGGGAAGGAAAGGTGTGCAATGGGAGGATTAGGACAAAACACAATAGTAGAACATGGGTTTTGGGACAGGCAAGAAACCAAGGATGTTAGAGAGGATTAATGTCGGTCAGCCTCCACTCATGATTCACTTGAATCAGGAATTACCACCAAATACAGAAGGATGAAGAAATGATGTGGGTGGAGGTCCATAAAAAGGAGGAAGAAAGCCTGTACCAAAGAGAGATTATTATCCCTACCCAACAAGTCCCAGCAACAAATGATCCAATAGAGTAGGGAAAGGGCTGAAGATTTAGTACGAGCCATGGTAGAAAAGAGAAGGGAATGGGTATTGCCAGTAACAGCATCCATGGTTCGATGAAATGCAGGAAGGAGAGGTAATGAAACACATAAGTGAGGATTAGGTGTAGACGAGAGAATTGAGCACTGGATGGTGAGACTGATCCCAGTGGATCTGTCCCCCCAAACAGACAAAATGGATTCCAAGGTTTGTGATCCAAATAGGGAATGTTGTAATGATAGGACATAATAAAGTAATCAAAAATGGAGGAAGCGAAGCATAAGATTGCAGGAATGGAGTTGATCTGAAAACGAAGTAGAATGGATGCCAATATCAGAAGATGGGGGAGAAAGCTAAAATTCATGAGGATGAGGGTTGTAAAGGAGGGAACAGGAATTACAGATAAGACACCACATAACTGACTAATATGTGAGGAAGATTAAACATTCTCCTCAACAGTGAGAGAGTTTCCTAAAGCATAACCAGGAGAATGAAACAAAAGGTCAAAGTCGTCCTTCTCATCATACTGCCTTTCAGAATGAGGAGGAATGGAAGAGTGTCAAACTCCCATTTGCATAATGGAACACACTACCCTATGCACAATAGCCATCATGTCATCCACATTTAATGTGCCTCCAGTAGCCAAGTTATAAACTTAACTAGTGTGAAAATATTCCACATCAACTTTTGTTTTAACAAATACATGAACTTGCGAGTTCATATTTGATATAAATATAGGAAACAATATTTCTGTATTAGACTTCAACTCTGCAAATTACGAGTGTATACAAACACATCTTAGTAATGCAATGCCAAGGAAAATAAATTAAAATCACTAGATCAAAGTATAGAAGAAGCTAGCACAGGGAGGCTGTGTCACTCTCTTATTGGTGGAGGGGTTTTGGTGCATAATAATGTCATTATGCAGTAGCACAAATTACGAGAAATCTCATGAGTTTAGGTGAGAATTGCCTAAAAGTTAGTGGCATGCAAATCTCTAAGACAGATGCACAAAGAAGATAGTTTTATGTGTTAACAGGTGTGTATCACCTCGGAAGGTTTAATAGATTTGAATTATGCAGTACCACATTAGCACTATCAGGCACAAAAGAAATTAGTTCATGATTTAAAATAAAACCAAATATATTTGAGAAAAAAAGAATTTAGATCAGCAAAATTTTCTAAAGAATTATGGCTAACTGGCAAATCCTGGTCTGCAAACAATGAAGAAAGGTAAGCTGATTAAAATACCATATTTTTTATCATTATGAGAAAAGGATGAGTGTTCAGTAAAAGAGCATCCAAAAGAACGGATCAAGAATACCAACAAACAAAACTGAATATGTTGATCAAAAGAGCTAAGAATGCCACCACAGTATCTTCCTGCACCCTAGATGCAGACTAGATGAGTAAGGCCTCAAAGAAGTTATAGAATTTTGAATATTGGTAAAAAATTGGCAGCAGTAGTTACCTAAGACATCAGAAACCATAGTGGATGAAATTAGCAGCATGAATGTCACAAAAAAAATCAGAATTATGTCAGGAAAGCAGAGCTTATATAAGCTCTCCTGACACATGTGCAACAAGTTATGTGAAGGGTGGGCCAGTTGAAATGTATGGGTAATTCAATGTATGATCTACAATACATTAAGAACATATAGAACTATAAGTCACATGGTTGTCAACAGCATGACAGCAACACAACAAGGAAAACCTTTCATTATCTCAGAGGAAAATCTGCCCAAGTTGAATCCAAAACATACACTTTTCTGGAAGAGAATAAATTTAGTATTTTCAACATGAATAGTACATTATATGACATATGGGTTAAGTGGTCAGGAAAGAGACCCCATGGTGCAGGCATAAACATCTATAATGTAAAACCATTGACCAGGAGGAGAGCAAGACAATCAGCAGCAGCTGCCATCTATGTTACAACCCTTATCCAAAGAGCAGGATTTGCTGTCACTTTTATAATGCACCTTCAGCTGCAAGTGCAGAACATGTTGAGCATATTCAGTAGCAAATTGCAGACTCACACCTTGGACTTAACAGCCTACAGCATACTAACCATTAGGTCATGTCCAGAAATGTTAGGGAAAGCAATCATTCATACAATTCACACCTCCACTTATACAATATTTCCCCTTAATAATTTATAAGTTGAGCAAGTATCTTAATTCAACTCTAGATTTTATTTAATAGCGAATCTAACATACAATACCAGCTGCTGAATGATAGGTGCCACAGTGTGACAAAGTTTCTTTAGGTTTGCCTTAATTAGATCTTTTCTTTTTTCTAGTAAGTGCTATCCATCAACTTCACATTCTTACCAGTTTCATTTACACTATACAATATTACAACAAAGTAAAAGAAATACTTCTTAGCTTGCTTTTAGTTGGAAAATGAGAACACCTCAAGTTCTTATTTCCTTATAAAAATTGTTGAAACATAATCCTCATAAAATATTTTCAAATATATCTTAGAACAGAGGCATATTAAACTTCTATGTCAAGAAACAAATCAATTACATAAAAGTTATTAATGTCTAAAATTAAACTCTAATGTAGCATTTAGCTTTTGTTTATTAAAAGCATGAAATGTTCTCCAAGACATATATGATTAATTTCCAGCAAAACTTATCTCTGGCTGTATAAACTATAATTTATTGCTGACAACTAGATGTAAAAAAAAAAGTTTCCCATAAACCATGTGAATTGACAAAATATGACTATAAAATTGGCCATATCATTATCCTGAGATAGTTCATGACTATAATTATGATGTTTCTAAGTTGTACATAGCCCTGCATAAATCTACTTTTCAAAATTAAAAAACATTAAAACGACTATCAGTGTGCTATAACCTAAACAAAGTATGGTACTGTACAATATTATTCAGCTATGGTGGAAAGGGGTGTATTACAATTTTTGATATTTTATACTATAGCATTTTTTATTAGATAATACATACATTTTTTTGATTGGTGAAACATATCCTGGCAATGAATATTCAGTTGTCATGAACAAAAATTGAATAATTTGCCTTTTTCTTTTTTACATGTCTAAACTTTTCCTGTTTTGGATTCTTTTAGATTTGGTATATTACCAGCTTACTATCTATTTATTATATTTAATATTTAAGAACAACAAACCTATACAGTAAACAACAGCACAAGGTTCCTGTACTTCATGAACAACATCAGCAAGAGCCATTCCGAATGCTGATAGAATACCTGCATATCTGTGTAAAACAAAATGAACTAACTGTTTAATCCCATCTTCATTCTAAAGATACATTTAACTAACACACACGTGAAGCTTGTAGTCTACAGTTTAGCTATATTTAAAAAGACATCTAATGGGGAAAGAAATCCACATTTTCCTTACCTGAAAATGTATTTCATAGATACTCACCTCTACACACAGAACAGCTCAATCTTTCATGTATCTTCCTATAAGATTTGCATGCCACTAGCCATAAGCTAACTCCCACATAAAAATCACATGTTTAGCATCACTTGACAATAGCTCTCCACCAAGAGGATAGTGACACAACTTCTTTGTGCAGTAACTATCCCTAAGCACTTTTGCTTGAAATAACTTCGTTCTCAGATGAGGCAATAAGAAAGTGCACTAGAAGTGGAAAGGACAGGTGGGAAAGTATCTATGATTAATATATTTTCAAATAAGGAAAAGGTTAAGTTCTGAGATGATATCTCACCTCCTCACACAGAATAGGTAGAATCTCACAATGAAATGGTGAAGAGGCTGGTGCAACTATTAAACCTAGACGAGCTCCTTTCAGAAAATGCCTAAAAGGGAAAGTCCATAGAGTGTGACATCTGGTGACAAGGGCGCACCTGTGGGAAACTAAATTTTGTCTCAACCAGAGCATACTCTTCACCTGAAAGGAAAAATAGTTTGTTTTGGTTTGTTTTGAATTTCGCGCAAAGCTACACAAGGGCCGTCCCTAACTTAGCAATGTAAGACTAGACAGCTAGTCATCACCACCCACTGCCAACTCTTGGGTTACTCTTTTAGCAATGAATAGTTGGATTGACCGTCACATTATAACGCTCCCACGGCTGAAAGAGTGAGCATGTTTGGTGGGATAGGAATTCGAACCCGTGACCCTCAGATTGCGAGTTGAGCACCCTAACCACCTGGCCAGGCCAGGCTGAAGGAAGAGAGAGAAAAGCAAAAAACCCAAAAGTGTTGCAGGGATGAAAGGAATTTTTGCACAACAAACACCCACACACAAAAGGTCAGCAAGCCAAGCAGTATAGGGTATTTAAGGCACAGTTGGACAATACTGTGAATGTCTAGCCTCAACTCAACTGGACAGATTGAAATAGGGGTGACAAACCAGTCCCACTGTAGGAGAAGGCATACTAGCTGTTTGAGGGGTGACCCTTACTACATAGAGAGTGCCAACATTACCCTACTTCATACCATATTGTGCTGTATATATCAGAGAAGCACTCTCCAAGATCCACCACTTCAGTGGCTAGGAACTGATAAGTGGTAAGAGTCTCCTGTGCTCCACATGAAGAAGGGGGAGGGATAATTCACAATAGCGAGATTCAATGAAATGGTCTTATCCCCATTGGACACCTACTGAGAAGGTCTTTGACTAGAGACAGTGCAATGATTGACCGTGAAACCCTATTTTGAAAAGTCTGCAACTGCAAGCCAAAGAAATGGGCTTATTCCATGATATTCCTTGAAATGGTACTGTCTGGATCAGACAGTAGTAGTCTTCTGAAACACTCCATCTCGACAGTAGGCACTGGTAAAGCGAGAGTGGATGCAGATTTTGAGAAATAAGCACATGCTGGAAGGTAATACTAGCCACCTAGCAGGGCCCTATACGAGTGAAGAGGGTGATGTAAAAGAAAATGTACTTACCTTTCTCAAAGATTGTGTGTATATTGAAGAACAGCGATTGGAGGAAGTCAAAATCCCCCATGAGACAAAAAGCCAGATGATGAAGATAATGAGAGATAAATGTGAGTGGATTCATCCATATGACAGCCTGAAGGATCTTGTCCAAGGGTTGACAAAAATGAAACACAATAGAGTTAGACAGGTGAAGAACTTGAGGCAAACGTGAAAATGTCTGCAGGCATCAATATCCAGGGTCTCATACCAACCATAGAAATTGATGGACTCATCCAATAAGGGTAAGAGGCAAAAGATCCCTGGACAAAAAAAAGAGTCCAAAGTAAAAAACCAAATGATGACAGGAACCCCAAAAAAGACATTTGTGCCAAATAACAGTGCACAGCCCACACTCACATTGATGGCAGGCATGCCCAACTGAGACCAAATCCAATGAATAACCTGAGAATGTAGAGACCACTACGTGTATAGAATCTGGCCTGGTCAAGAAAGGCAATCTGCCACCAAGTGCACCAGCACTTGACAAACTATGTGATGTACCCAATGGGAATGAGCCCAAAATAGCAAATCCAAAGCAAAGATGCAAAGAGTCCTGGAATGGGTATGCCCTGACAGTTTGATGTAAGAAACAACCATGTACAGAAACCAGAATGGCCAAGAAAGGCAATTTGCCATCAGGTTCAGAGACCCTAGCACATGACAAGCTATGAGACATACCCAATGAGAATGAGCCCAAAATAGCAGATTCAAAGCATGGAAGCAAAGAGTCATGTAATGAGTACCCCCTGGCATTTTGATATAAGAAATGTTCATAGAACTGTGTTGAAGTATATAATAACCAACAAATGCATGAAAAGAGGGAAGAAACAGAAAGATGTCTGATAAACTGTGAGAAGTTCAAGTATGCTGATGTGGAGTCCTCCCAAGAAGGGGTAAGGAGAAGCCTATCATCTGTGTAATAATGAAACCCCATCCCCAATTCATGAATATCATGGGTGAATGCCACCAAGACTTGATTGAAGATGTAAGGAACAGACAATGCCAAATAGAAGTGGAAAGAACTGGTAGACTCAATTCCAATGGACAAAACAAAGAAAATGTCTGATCATCTACAGACCAGATGAAAAGAACCACCAGACAAAAAAACTTCCATTCAGAACTATGAGACAACTAGAAACTGGTTGAGAGATGACAGGTCAGTAACCGGATGCTAGTCCCCAGTCTTCCAGGGGGCCACAAAGAGGTGAAAGTAATATCCTGTTGTAGGGGTAAATACTCTCTCAAAGGTATTCTTGGTCAAGAGATCCAAGACAGCATCCTCAAGATGCTTAAAATAAATGGGGTCAGAGGAAAAAAAATTGAAAAAGGGAAGGAAGAGAAAAGAAGTGGATTGATAGCCATGGGTGAGAACCTCAAGTACCCATCTATCAGCTGAAAATAGAGGCCAAAGGATGGTGGAGCAAAACAGATAGGCCAGACCTACAAGGATAGCGAGGACCCTGATGTTGTGAAGTGGGAGGATAGGAAGTTGTAATGGAAAAGGGAGACATAGAATGAGAAGACCTAAGAACATGAACAGAATGGTGATGTTGAGAAAACTAAAAAGACAATAAGGACTGATGTCAGGCCACCTCAGCCCAGGTTTCCAAAGGGTCAGGAACACCATTGAAAACCTCCAGCCAAAGAAAAGGAGCTCAATGAAGATCATGGAGATAAGATTGTGGCAGGTGAACATTAGTTAGATGATCATCCCACCTCAACAATTCCCAATAGTAAAGGAACCAAGTGAGGAAGGACAGAGCAAAAGTAGCACAGGCTAAAGTGGTTAAAAGAAGAGAATGAACTTCTCCAGAAAACCTGTCAAGTGCACAATAAAGTATCTCAGAAATAAGGTGAAGGGATGAGAGGTAATGTAGGAGGGTAATAATAATAAAGAGATGAAGGTATAAAAATTGGGTACTAGAAAGTGAAACAGAAGTGGTCTTCCACTCCCCCAAGCATGTGAATAAGATTTCTAAGACTGGGAATCAAGGAATGAAAATGAAGAATGGTTCTAAGCCAGGAAAAAAAAGAGTCAAGTAGGCAAGGAGGATGAGACACATGAGTATGGGTGCATAGTTGTTTAGAAAATAGGTCTGTATGGACCATAATATCACAAGAAAGAAGGAAAACAAAATAATCCTAAGTGTGGGTTTCACTTAGTAAACAATGAGAGGAATTGAAAGACACTGGAGAAAGAAAAGAACCTACCTGCAAAATCTTGTCAAGAAAGACATTAAAAGAATGTCAGCTAAGAAGATGAGAGGAGAAGGCCCTATATGCATGAAAGATCCCACAAATTACTGAACAATGATTGTCACATCCTCTACAGATAAAGAGCCTCCAGCAGCCACAGGTCCTATGTTAATAACATGGTCACCAGCACAGGAAAAGTAGAAAGAAAAAAGTTACTGTCACTTGAGAATTCATAATGGAAGAGCAGGGAAAAAAAAAACTTTTTTCATTTTTCTTGTTCTTTAGTAAAAAGAGAAACAGTTAAACTTGAATGAAATTCAAGTTTTGTAAACTATCACAAATCTCATGTATTTAATTATTAATTTTAAAAATGTCCATTCAAGACAATACCAAAGAAAAGAATGAAGATATGTCAATTACAAGTGTTTAGGGAGGAGTTACTGTGCAAAGAGGTTGTTTTGCCATCCTCTTAGTGGAGAGCTATCAACCAATGATGATATCATCATGCAGTTCATATTAAACATGTGATTTTTAGGTGGGAGTTAACTCAAGACTAGTGGTATGCAAGTTTCATAATCAGATGCACAAAGGATGAAGCTGTTTTATGTAAGCAGGTGAGGTATCATCTCAGAACGATATTTTATTTCATGAACTGTCAACTACTATTAATATTATACATGTCCTTAAACATATTGTAGTCATTGCATAAAAATATCCACATTATACCTAATACACTTCCTCTTAATAATCTTGCAAAATTTTACAAATTTAGAATCCTAGTTACAATATATTCAGCCAAATATTATCTAATATATTCCAATATCAAAGTTTGAGGGTCCAAAGAACTCCAACCTGTTTTCCCTGTTCTATATATTTTATACAAGTTACTCTTGCATAGCCCCAAAGCTTCTGTCCATTCCATGGCCTATATCCACAATGTTACTGTTAGGTTTATACATCCACAACTGCTAGATATTTCAATTTCTTTTGAGGTTGTTGCAACAAGGTGATTGTCCAGAAACTAACTGGCCTGTCACACTATATAATGACTACCAGAGGGATATATGAAGATTTCAAAGAAGGTGTGCTCTTATGTTTCCTCTT